TAAATAAAATAAAAAATAAAATTATTAATAAAATATATTTTAAGTTATAAAATTTATATTTTATTTATTTAAATAAATACAGTCATACCTCTTTATAATTACCCTCTATATAATCACATCATATAAAAACCTCTTTATAATTACATCTATATCTTCGCCCAATTACTATCTAATATATAACAAAAGACCTCTATATAAGCACACCTTTTTACAAGAACATTTTTTTAAAAAAGTTTCTATGGTCCCAAAAGTGTGATTATAAAGAGGTATGACTGTATTATAAATTTAGTTTTTTTCAAATTAATTCGAAAATATCTAATAAATCATATAATTATTGCGTTTTAATATATTTCCTATTATTTATAAATTATTTAATTTATTTTGAATTAATTCGAAATATCCCAAAATATTTTGAATAGTATCTGATAAATTCGAATTGATTAGTGTTTCTTTCTCATTAGTAGCTATCTTTTGGTTTATAAATATTTTGCTGTTTTGATACATTTACGTCTATTCGAATTGTTTCGAACTAATTTGAAATATTGTGCAATTTATAGCGTAATATTGTGCTATAAGTTTCGTAATTTTGTGTAATATATTTTGTAATATTACGTTATATATTGTGCAATATTTCGCAACTTTTTGTGCAATATTATGTCCAGACTGTAATTATTGTGCAATATTTCGGGGCGTAATAACTTACGTAAGATTACGTTAATATATTTTGCTGATGTAAATATAAATCTAATAAATAGTAGAGGCAAGAATGCTGAATTAAAAAAATATATATATATTTTATTACAGTATATTTTATTTTTATAATAATTTTATTATATATTATACTATATTTTAAAAGCTATAAACTTTACTTTTTTTTCAAAATAAAGTAGGTTTTATTTACCTTTTTAATATTTTTATACTTGAATACTTATATTTCAATAAATATTTTATAATTTTAAAATAAAATTATATATATATAAAAAAGCATTTTTTTTTTCTTTGTTCAAGTTAGATTAATTTGCACAAATATTAAAGCAAAAAAAAAATTATAGTTTATTCTTATTTTTATACAGTATCGAACTAATTGCTCTTATAAACCAAAAGTTTAAAAAAACTTTAAAAAGTTTAAAATTTATTATACAGGTTTGTTAAATGAGAGTTAGTTATATTTTAAAGCTTATTAAAAGTTTGTAACGTATATCTCTCAATTCTTGAAAAATAAGTACCGACCAATTTGAATAACCAATACATAAATATAGGTTGGAGCCTTTTTTTTTTTTTTTTTTTTTTTTTTTTTTTATTACTCAATATTTAAATTGCATTTTAAATTGGTTTGCAATTTTTACTAGCAAAAAAAAAAAAAAACTTACAGTATAAAGTGCATAAATAAAGACTATAAAATGCCTTAAAATCTGAAGTCTTTGCTTCCTTTTATAAATAAAAAAACCATAAATATTTTGAGAGAACTTTTTTTTGGTAGCAAGTTTCTTAAACAAATTAATTAATAATAACAGATTAATTTGTTTAAGAAATTTGCTCTTAATTTTTTTTGGATTTTACGGCGGTGATAAGGATGGCATAATCTACTTTATCCAATTAGAAATGGTAATTCATACGTCCAATTGGAACTGGGAAAGAATTAGGATTTCCCGCTTCGAGCAGATAAGGACATCGGAATGGATGTGACATATTGATGCCTCGTACCATTACTACGTATTTGTGCATCAAGGCTCCTGCGTGTTGGTGGATGGCCGGGAACCAGGTGATTCTGATTCGAAGTAGAAGTCTGAGATTTATGTGTGCTGTGTGAAATTTGCTGTGAGCTCAATGCTCCACGAGCTACGCTAGACGAGGAGGTGTTAGCTTGTCTCATCGAAAGACTACTACTTGATGATGGATGAGAAGATGACGTTGGGCTCTGTCGCCTCATTAAATCGTAGTTTGTAAGATAGTTCCTGGTCTGTAAAGAGTTTATTCGGATTTAATTCCTTACGATAAATACTTTATAAATTATATATAATCTTAAATTAATCACTTACACTAAGTTTCACATCAGTTATCCATTCATGCATGAGACCTTCATCCGGCTTCATTCGTTTCTCAGGATCCCAATGCAGGCAGCGTGATATGAAGTCCAAGAAAACTTCATCTTGACATTTCAAAACATTCTGCAACGTCTTCGTTCCAGGCCGCCGACGTTTACCTTTTGAATTTACAACGGGACGTGGATTTCCATTTGAGTCTAAGGAAAAAAGCATAAGTTTAATAATATGATAAATTAAAATTAAAAAAAATTTAAAAAATTTTTTTTTTTTTTTTTACCGAAAAAGAGCTTTTTTCTTGTACTCTTTTCTATTAAATATCTCTCAGGGATCCCTTGAATCTCCATTATACATGCCAGTTGCTCTTGTTCACCTTCCCCTGGAAAAAGGGGATAGCCTAATTACGAGTAAAAGTACATAATATGATATTAATAATAAATAACAGTAATAAGCTTTATATCAAACATAATATGATATTAATAATAAATGACAGTAACAAAATTTTATATAAGATTAAACGAATCTCATAACTAACCTGTATATAGCTCAGCAAGTATACAACCTAAACTCCACATATCGATTGCCATATTATATGTCATTCCTAATATGACTTCAGGGGATCGGTAAAACCGACTTTGAATATAAGTATATACTTTTTCGTTTTCAAAGCAACTGCTGCCAAAGTCAATGACTTTAATGCTGCTCTTTGTCGGATGTTTTAAGAGCACATTCTGCTCATAAATATTAAATTTATTCATTATTAAGTATGGTTCGGGTCAATAAAGCATAAGATGTAATTTTATCGACAACTACCTCCGGTTTTAAATCACAATGTACTATATTGTGCTTTTGTAGCAGTGACAATGAATTAAGTAGCTGGACGCAAAACCTTTGTGATGTAGAATGGATCAATATGTTTAATTTATAATATTATTAACCTTTCTTTTTTTCTTTTTTTTTTGGGAAATAAAAGTTATATATTTCGTACCTTTTTATTAAGCCAAGACTGAATCCTTGGAAGTCATGACTCTTTATGAACTCGTACAAGTTCATGCTCAAAAGTTCAAATACAATACATAAATGATTCCGGAAATAAAAGTGATCATCCATATGGACGATATTATGAGAATCATCAGGATCCTAAAAGAAATGTATATTTTTAACAATTTGATAATTTAAAGATAAAAATAATTATTCAATTAATAAGTGAAAAATTTACCCATCTATTTAGGCACTCTAGAATCTTTACTTCTACTAATGCCTGACAATGAAATCTTTTTTTGTTTCGAATTATTTTAACAGCAACATACTCTCCAGTTTTGTGATCAAGACATTTCAACACCTGACCAAAAGAACCCTTGCCTAGACTTTCAACTATTTCATAACGATAACATAAATGATCATTGTTTATTACGTTATAGTCTCCACGCTCATCATCGAAACCAAAATTACAACCACTCAATTCGGGGCTAGATGGGACTTTTTGGGCATTTGGACCCACGAAATAAACCTCAGGATAGTCTAATATTTCAGAACGTTCATATAATGATAAAGATGGTGCATAAGTTTTAAGAGCTACATGAGGACTCATAGCTAAAGACCCTTTAGTTCGGGCATCTTGTTTCTTTCGTTCCCTCTCGCGTTCTTTTTTGTTTTTCTCAGATTCTGGTATGAAGCAGGTGGTTTCATCTTCACCACTTGTCGTATTATCATCATATTGAGTAGAATTATTATAACCACCTGGCGTACTTGCAGCAGAAGAAGAAGAATCCACATCAACACCATAACTAGGAATGAGTAAGGACGAATTAGGAAGATTGGTAGTTGAGGAATTTGCACTAGCAGAGTGTGAAGTTGTGCGGTGTTTACGACCAGTCGTTGAAGGTATATTTGTCGGAGTTTTTGCAGATGATGAACTACCATTCTTATTGCCTGAAAACATATTAGATATAGCAGTTGATAGGCGCCTTTTTGGGGTAGTTCTTGTAGGTTCTTTTAGTTGAATAAAATAAAAAACTTTTCCATTTAGATAAATAGTAATAATAATGAATTAAAAAGAAATAATATAAAATACTTGCTTTTATCAGACTTGCTAGAAGTTGTACTACCATTTGATGAATTTATCGCTGTACCATTATTTATTTGTGATCGACTCTGTTTACTGCTTCTTCCGTTTGGTGATGAGGGTGCTACCTTTGAACTCGACATAATTCCTTTACCATTTGGTGATGACAAACCACTACCAAGTTTGGCAGGTTTTAACGGTACCAGAGTTGGTGTAGGAATTTTTGATGTTGGGGTTGTTAACACCCTGAAAGGAGCGGTGGGGGTTTTTGATTTGAGATTAGGATTGGAATGTGTAGGTATTTTAACATTTGGAGGCAATGCAGTGACATTGAAAGGTGGTAAAGTAAGAGCGGCCAATTGAGCAGGAGCAGCCATATTTGCTGGAAGTGTCTATGTTATTTATTAATTAGAATAATAAATTTAAGATAAATAAGTTTAACAGCGTCTTTTACAACAAACTTTTCCAACCTGTCTTCTGACTATCCTATCAGTCTGCGGTTGGCCGGTTATCTGAAACCAATCCATGTTGTTTGTTTAAAAGTTGTAAAAAGCTAAATACTAACTATTATTTTTTTTTAAAAAAAAATAAAAATAAAAAAATAAAAAGTTTCACATACCGCACCCCTCGACCTTGTTTTTTTCTTTGTATCAGAAATTTTATCTTTCTTTTCACGAGGTGAAATGTTGCCACCTTTTGAATCTGTTGATATTGTTAATTTCTTTTCATTAGTTATTGTTGAAGGCAATGTTGGTACAGGAGGAATATCATCATGAGCTTTTGGTGAATCTTTTGTTAATTTAGGAAGATAACTTGGCATAGCAGGTACCGGTGGTGGAAGCTGTGAATCACTTATGGGTGGAGGAAGTGAATCCCGTTTTCCAGATGTTGGTGTTGTAGTTCTACTATTGATTGGTTTTTGTGGAGATGTATTCGAAGAATTCATAGATCCACTAGTTGTTGATTTTCGCTTTTTCATATTATCAGAGTTAACTGTCGAATTATTATCAGATTCTGATTTTTTTAGACTTTGAGTGTTCTTTGATAGAGATGAAGTACTATTATAACTAACACTACGAATAGGAGTTGGTGGTGGTAATCTCGAAGTTAGAGCCGACAGTGGTGGTGTTATAGGCATAGTTTTTGATTTAGAAACGGTAGGAAGCAGAGGTGAAGGTGTTCGACCAGTTATCGGATTATAATCATCATCCGATACAGAATAATCATTAGAATTTTTAGATTTTGATGAAAGGGGAGTATTAATAGTACTACCTCTTCGCACACGTTCTATTGAAGCAAATTTTTCTAATTGCTCCATTGCACTAGTTTTTATTTGCAGAGAAACATCTAAAGTTTTTCGTTTATCTTTCTTCTTATTCTTAAGTTTCTCATCCGAACGTGATTCCTTCAAATATTTTTTATTATCAGTTGGCTCAACCGGGCCATTTGCTGTCAAATCAATACCCTCACTAGCATATTTAATATGACCAATTTGTTTTCCATCAGTTAAAGTGTTTGTTCTTTTTCTCGACTCATGAGAAATAGGCCAATGTGTTATTGATGATGAAATGACTGGTGATTTAACAGCTTCTTGACTTGTACGTCGTATAATAGAAGGTTTTATGTGTGTAGTGGGATTTGAAGGTACACGTTTAGTAGAATTTATACTTCGAGATTTATCGTTTCTATTAAAAAAAAAAATCAAGTGAATCAATCAATATATATATATATTTATATATATATATATAATTAAAAAAAATATTTTCCAGATAATTAATTACCCTAAATAACCAATTTTACTTTGTAAATCTTCATCATCACTTTCACTTTCTCTAAGAGAAGCGGATTGACTAGTAAAACTTTTTTCCATTTTTGCCAATACTTGACTGGTCTGGTCAGCTAGTTTATGTTCGACCATTTCTAGATCCTTAAATATTTTTAACACATTTTCTGTCATTGCTCTATATTCTTTTTGAGAAATTCTTGAAGAATCAGTACGATCATCATTTTGTTCGTCGCTAAGTTGCCTTCGACTAGGTTTTGTGCGAGAAGATAGATGTGAATGAAGAGATGAAGATTGGGTTGATGATTGATCGAGATGAGTCGTATCTAATAGTCCCATATCCATCCTCCCTTCCTTTGTTTTTTTTACCAGATTACCGTTAGATTTCTTAGGAGACAATGTTTGCCCTCCTTGTGAAGTTCTAGAAGTACTTCTCACAGGCGATTGTTGTGACCATGAAGAGAAATCGGGTACATTCTGATCGTTAGTTACGGAAGCATTATTGGAAGAATTGCCTTGGTGAGTACGATTCCTGCCTGATAATGTACTTGTTGAAGAAGTTGTAGAGACTACAGACAGTCTTCTTGAAAGAGATTTTTGTGCGGTATCTGCCATAACGAGCAAATTACGTACATGTGATGTGGATAAAGAAAAAGAATTTGTTCAGATTCAAAACTAGATTAATGACGTATTTGATTGAGAAGTGGTTTTTTTTTAGTCAAAGGTAATTGTTCCACAATTTATATACATTAAGTTATTAATGAAACCGATCTTTTTTAATACCATTCACTAAACATTTCATCTATAAAAAAGACATTATTCGCTGGGGAACTGTCTAGGTGCCACCCCCGGGTGGTAAATTATTTTTTTTTTGCCACCCCCATGATGACCAATCAAATTTATATGACCAATCAAAACTTATTACATGAATACGTAGTAGCAAAAGTTTTTTTTTAAAATATAAATTTTAACTAATCAAATTTTTTATTTTTATTATATATCATAATATAAATTATATAAAAAATAAAATAATAATAAAAACGTAATTAAAAGACCAGCCAAGGAACGCTAAACACTGTGAAACATTATTAAAAGGCTCTCTCTAAAAAACGTTAGATAAAGATTAATGAATCTCTGAAATGTTAAAACATCGTCAATGAATTTTAAAAAAGTAAAAGAAACATTACCGAAAATTCTTCAAAAATGCTATAGGTACATCGTTAAAGAACCCTTTAAGAAACTCTAGAAAGCTTTGTTAAAAAAAAAATTTCCAAAAATGTCATCAGAGAACTTTCCGAAGAAACATCAAAAAATCCTTCCAAGAAACATCGAAGATCTCATCAGAGAATATCAAAGAACCACCGTGAAGCATCTCTTTAAAAGCTTAAGAGACATCGAAGGATCTCCAAGAACGCCATTAAAGAACTCTCAAAAAGCGCCAAAGAGCCCATCGAGAAAACATTATAAAATAATTTCACAAAATATCAAAGGAAACACCAAGAAGCGTTATTAAATAACACTCTAAGAAATACTAATAAACGTCATGTCGTAGAATTCTAAGAAATACCGAAGATAACTTTAAGAAACCGCCGTGAAAGAACTCTACAAGAAACGCCGAAAAAACCCTCTTCAAGAAACATCGGTGATAGTGATCCAATTCGTTAATTGACTTCTGTTAAATAAGTCATGAGTTTTAATCGCCATGTAAAAATAGTAGCAAGTGTAATAGTGATTAAAGCTCTTGACTTTATTTTAGCACCGATGATTTTAATGGGGAGTGTAGTTGATTGATTATCTATATAATAGATAAAATTAGGTAACGTTTAATGTAGTACAAAAGTATATGATATAATAATTTATTCGACCAATTAATTTTATCAAAACACGTGACTATTAGTTAATTGCCTACTGATATAGATTTACAATTCAGAACACTAATCGTCAAAATAGCACCGATAAATGTCTTGAAAGACCCAAGAAATACTGTAAAAAAATACCGAAATGTTGGAGATCCTATATCTAGTTACTGATCAGGTATGGTAGCACAAACTCTAATAAAGTCCAAGCATTTTACTGATCGGTATATAATTCAAATTAAGAACAGTCCTACGTATTGTTTGTAAATTCGGACTGCCAATAATCGAAGTTGCTAACGTATATGAATTTGTTAAAGGAACTACATATACAGTAATATATGGTTTACTCAGAACTTGTACCTTGTTATAGAACAGTACTATATTTGGATACAAATTATTCATACATATATATATATTCACAAGTTTTATAGTCCTGTAATATCAAGAACTAGGCTGGGAGAGGTGGTGAATGATACCCTGGTCTTTATCATGAGATATTACATTATATTGATATGCGGTAAATGCATGAAATCACTCTAAGTCAAGAAGAAAAGTATTTATACGTATTCAAAATATTTCAAATAAAATAAAATAAGATACGTAGAATATATAGTATTATATCAAATATTCCTAAACTATTCTTAAAAAATATAATAGTTCTCGTTTACACAAATTAGAATTCATTTTTTATTACCAATGCTTGAAACCAGAAATTTTTTGCCTCATGAGAATATTATTGTGTTTTCAATTATAGATTTTAATTTTTTGATTCTCGAAATATATTTATGTTTTCGATAACATTGAGAACGTTAGATTCCAAACTCGGTTTATACTTGCCGGCAAAATTCAAATTCCGAACTCTAATTTTCTAAATTTTTTTTAGTAATCTATTTAAACAACAATATATACTGTATTCTTATATATGCAAATTTTTCAACATTATGCTTTGATTTAATTTTTTTATATTGACCCGGTTTTTCCGATAAGTATATTCACGAGAGACAATTTTATCGATATCGTTATGAATTATTATTCATTTAACTGCTATTTTTGTTCAATACATACGTACGTACAGTACATACGTAACAGATAACAATATTAACAATATCGATATCAATATTGGGAAATGACTATCTCTATATGTCATTCTTTTTACGCACTCATTTTCCTGAGTTATAATTTATGTATATAAGTCGCAGGGGGGAAGGGGAGGGCGTGATGAATTTAACAAATAAAACTTATTGGTCTCTTTATTTTTATCTAACAATAAGCAAATTTGTTATTTAGGAAATTTTGATGTTGATGAACTAAAATCTTCCTTATACTGTATAAAAATATGCACTGTATAACCCTCTTCCCTTGAAGAAAACATGTGAACATATTCTCAATTTATTTACAAATATATATATGTATATATACTGTATATATATTTATTTATTTATTAACTAAAAATGCGAATATTTTCAAATACAATCGTAACATTACATTGGGCGAGATGAGATCTAAATAAATTGCTAGTTTTAAATGGTTTTTTGGGGTCATTTTACAGTATTAAAAAAAAGTGTTAAGCCTTCTAGCATTTAATACGTAACAGATAATAAATTCCTTAAAGCGTACATTACGAAATTCAGAACAAATTTGAGAAGGCTTATCATTTTTTTCTAATACTAACCTAGTTAAATTATTTTAAATACGTAACTTTAATTAAGAGCTTACAAAGAATAAAACAACCATTTCTAAAATTAGTAATTTGTTTAGACACACTATGTTTGTAGTTTTTTTGTCTCGTACGTACGTACTGTACGTACATACGTATGTACGTACGTACGTAATTGGAATCATATGGATGTACACTAGAATGGATAAAAGATCGAAAATTTGACAAAGAAACCAACCACTAGATGGTGGTCGATCCGTATGAATCGTAAAGGTGTCAGAATATAGAAAGACATGCTAAAAAAAAAAGTAATAATACAGTAAATAGCATTAAGATTGTTATACTATATATGTAAACATATATATAAAAACTATATACTGTAGTTCTCTAATTATTCATAATTATATACTTTATATATTTTCCATTGGGGAAAAATGTACCATTATGACATGACATTTTACGCCAATTATTGAGATTCCTAATTAGTTTGGCATTAATTTTCATAACGATGTGATTTTTCTAGAAACGCATTTTTAACTTTCTAATTTTTAACTTATTTGTATTACCTAGCTTTTTTTCCTTGTAGCCATGCGACAACAATCAGAAGAATTGATACCCCAAATTTGATCTTGTGACGATGAAAGAACATATGAATTTATTAACAAAAACTCGATTTGGTTCGGGCTAAAAAACCTGTAAATTTAATGAAGTCATTTAAGCATCGTGAATTGTATCGGTATACGTATATCTGTTACATTTAATTATACGTATTTCTCGTAACGGTATCAAGTTCTATAAATAAACATAACACAATAGAATTCGAAAAGCTGTGTATCCATATTTACCTTACTATTCGGGACTCCTCATACGTACATGTAATAATAGTTTTGACAATATGTAATAAATACTAACTATCACATGATTTGCCCAATTTCACTAATACTGTATTTTTATTTTAACTACATTAGAGTTAGATCAATTGTTATCTCAATTAAATGTCGTAATAAGAAACCTTACATGTCAAATGGTTATCATGTAACATATTGATCTTAACTTTTTATATACATGCGTATGTACGTACGTACGTGTTATTGATTTGTAGTGGTTTAAAAGTTTTTAGATTAGCGGTACTTATTTTCCCGACAATTATTTTTCTGATACGTAGCTAAGGTTGGCTCGATTTAGTGTAAGGGGTTTACCTGAGTAATTCGTATCGGAGATATATGGTTGTCGGAAATATTATGGGTTGCATAATTTTCTGTAATAATCAAATTTTATTGGTGTATTGTGTATCAAATAACATACTGTATACAATAATTAATAAATATACAGTACTGTAAATACCTGTATATATAAGATTTTGCTTTTTAATTTTAGCAAAAACATTTAATTTTATAATTTACAAATTACTATATAATTTTAAAACTGTTATATTTTTTAATTTTTTTATTAACAAATTATTATTATTTTGTATTTAAAGTAACCCAATACTGGCTATTTTTTTATTTTTATTATTAATTAAAATAAAAATAGATTTAAAATTATTATTAAAATTTACTTATATAAAATATAAAATAATTAAAAATTTTTGTTGGATGTTCTTTTTTAGAATTTTACTAACTATAACCGGCAGTGACCATTATCGGAGTGCTTATATCTCAAAAACGTACTAAGTAAACAGGATCGGGTACTCTAAGTAAAAATGTTCAGGGCCCCTAAAAACCTTATGAAAACTGAAATTGGGATCTTATATTAGCTCTATATTATTTTATATAAAAAATAATAATTCTTAATACCCTAACTCTAACCCTAAAAATAAATAGATGCGGTGATGATCACTGCCGGTAATTTTAAGTAAAAATCTTTTTTTTATAATTATTAATTGTTTTACAATATTTGATAATATGTTTATTACAGAACTATATACAATATTACATTCAAATACTAATAAATAAAGCTCTGAAAAACAGTTTAAGAATAAATATAAGCTTATATAAAGTTGATTTCAAAACTAGTCAACTTCTTAAATATCTAAAAGACTAAAAAAAACCTTGTAGCAAAAATATTTTGAGCTATATCAAATTAAAATAAAATAAACAACTTTTATAATATGCTTATGAGATATTTCTTACATATATCATAATAATTTAGATGATTTATATTATACTAATATCTATTTTTAAACTTTAGATAATTTAGATGATTTATATTGTACTAATATCTATTTTTAAACTTTAGAAAAAGATAAAAATCTAACTACTATTTTTTTTTTTTTTTTTTTTTAAACTTTGACGATTTTGCCATTAACTTTTATTATTATATTTAACCGAACAGTATATATACATTACATATATTTAACTATCTAACTAAATAGTCGTTATAATCTCACCTAGCTACCCTATATAGTGCTCAGATGCAATCATCTGTACTATCTTACATGTGAGATGGACTACCTCGGGAACCTCTATCAAGAAGCACCCTAAATTCTGATTTAACTCAGAACCTTAATATATTTACCAATTCATATATACTCTGCTATATATACTACTGTACAATGTCTACCAGTTATAATCCACCTCTCATCACTTATCACATTACTCCTAATTCGTTTCTTGTATAACTTCCAAATTGGTGTTTTAGAAGTGGGCGCTCTTCTTGCTTTCAGTTTGGTGTCCTTCGAGATGTTACTTCAGTTCCTAATTCGTATCTCAAGCTAGATACTACCGATGTCCAAAGATCTGTATCTCAAACCATCTGCTGTCGCTAGTAGGAGAGCTGTTCGCATGGTTCCAGGTATTCATATCGTATACTATTTAATTAGGCTACCACCCCTTTTATAGTACTCTCCCTTAATATAGTGATACAGAAATCTAGATCCTTAGAATAGAAGTTAAGTACCTCATTTAATTACTGCCACAAAGCAGTAACCCAGAAACTACTATTTTTTTATTATTTTTTCTAGTTTAATAACCTTTATTTCTTGAATTTATAGTATTAAAAATTTTATCAAAAAATTTCTTAAGTAAAAAATTAGATTTTTTAATTAATTTTGAAAAGTTTTAGAATCTAATTCTATTGAATTATTTAATCTTTTTTGCTTTTTAAAAAAATTTTAAAAGTACTGTAAATCTAATTTATTTTTAAAATTTAAA